CCAAGGGGCAGGGTAGGAGACCTGAGGTGGGAGATTCTGAGAGGCAGGGAGACCAAGGGGCATGGGGGGCATGAAAGGAAATATGGGGAGGAAGAGTCGGAGTTAATGAAAACATCATACTTTTTATATAGTTTAAAGAAATAAGTCGTCGTGCTAAGGGGCCACTAGGCTGGCCTCAGAGTGGTGGGGGGAACCTGGCTGTGCCCTGGCCTCCCTCCCCTCACTGCCCCCTTCCCTGCCACCTTCCACTGTTCCCCCTCCTGTCGGGGAAGCCCCTCATGGAGCGGCCACCAGGGAGCCCCAAGCTCTGGACCACTGGAGGGGCTTGAGAAGGGGAGCAGTGCCCCTACAGGCCCACAGCTAAAGCTCTGTGGGGGTGGGAGGGTCGTCTCCAGGACACAGCAGAAATGCAGGCGCGAGACCTGCCGGAGCTCAGCCAGGACAAAATTGAGAGGGACCTGTGCCCCCTGGATGGAGAACGCCAAGGGCTGGGGCACGCTGAGCACTCGCCGCAAGCTGCCCCCACCTGCCGCATCTATTTACCACCCAGCGGGCATGCGACATGGAGCAACTGCCAGCCTCATTTCACAGATGGGGAACTGAAGCTCAGAGAAGCAAACGTCAAGACCCGTGGTGGCCCAACAGTGAGCTGGAGGCTGAAGCCAGCATCCCTGTCCAGAGCCAAAGCCCCTGCTGGAGGGGCTGTGCCTGTCCCTCTTCTCACCTGTGCCGCAGGTGACTGTGCACTTGGTCCAGGGTCCGTAATGCCAGGAGAACTCGGGCGGTGGGACCTCGCCATGGCCATCTGCCTCCCTGTGGACGGTGTACTCATAGCGCACCCCAGGGTTGCTGTCCTGGAACAGCAGCTGGGCGAGCAGACGGGCCCCGTGAGCATGAGGCATCCTGTCCATCCACCCAGCCCTAGAGGAGCTGACCCCAGCCACCTCTGAACTGCAGCTACATCACGGGGCCATTTTAAAAGATGGAGAAACTGAGGCAGAGGTTGCAGCAGGAGGGCCTGGCTGAGAGCCAGGCTCTGTGACTGCCCCAGCGCTCACTCCCCCAGGATGAGACCCTGCCATGGGCCTGGGGTCTGCACCTCTGCTCCCCGCTCCTGGGCCTCGGGAAGCACGCACCTGAATCCAGACAGGCTCGTTGGTGGGACCTGGGGACGTGAGGTTCTCCCAGTTGCTCCTGCATGCGTATGCAAAGGTGGTCCCTGCCACCTGGTAGTCCCTGTCCCACTGTATGGTCCAGCCGCCGTCGAGGAAGTACTTCTTCGGGTCCTCGCTCTGCAGTGCCAGGAAGTTAGCAGCCTCCGCCACCTCCTGGATGCGGCTCTCACGTGCGCCAGCTGGGATCAGACCCACGTCCACACACCCTGCCGGCCACAGGTTGTGTACAGGTTGTGCTCGGGGTGACAGGGTCGCTTATCCCCACCCGCTGCCCTCACCTCTCTCCCAACTTACACCCCGCCTGCTGATGTCAAAGATTCCACCGTTACCTTAAAAGTCTGAGCTCTCCCAATTGCTCAGATATGTCATAGGTCACCAAAACCTCACAGAGGCGCCCCACATCCTGACCCCGTGTCCATGCCCCATCACCCCTCTCTTGGGGACCTAAACTGGTCTCACCACAAGGCTGGGTCCACCCAACACTCAGGGCCAGCTGGCATTCTCTTTCTAAAATGCCAGCGTGCTCCGGCCTTTCTCCCGGGTCACCCTCCTCAGCCCACACGGCTGCTTTTATTCACCCGCTTCTGTAACACCCATCACGCGCCGGGCACTGCTCACGTGTAAAATGAATAACAACCCTAGAATGTAGGTACCATTGTTGTCCCCATTTCACAGATGAGGAAGGTGAGGCAGGCAGGGATAGTAACATGAATGAGCAACCTGCTGGGATCTAAGGACAACGGGGTTTTCCTCAGGAAACCTTCCCTGACTTCCCCAAGCCAGGAGCGTCTTCCTCGGTGCTCCCAAAGTCCTCTGGGCCTCCCTGCACTGCATTGGCCACACAGAAGTTTCTGTCCCCTGCGGGACTGAACGATTCACCTGCATGTCCCCATCACCTAGCACAGTCAGCACTCGAACAAAGTGTGCAAAGCAGACCCAAGGTGAGGGCGTGGAGCTGAGGATCTCAGAAGCTTCAGGAGGAGACCACCATCCTCCTAGAGGCCCAGGGGCTGCACACAAGCTGAGCTGGACCTGCCTGGGGTCTCTGGGACAAGAGGTCTCCCCACGGGGACAGGTCTCTGTACTTGGGTTAGGGGTCCCTGACTCCTACATGAATTCCACCCCAGCAAGTCTTCCCTGCTTAGCCATCTATGGCTGGGTGGGGACCACGAGGCCAATGGGGGGACCCGGGGCAGATGGGGAAGCGGCCACCAGGTAAAGAGCATATCCCTCCCCCACAGTGGTCCCACCCGTACCCAGGCCCTCGGCCTCCACGAAGGTCTCGCTCACGGTGTGGCAGGTGGAGCCATTGCCGTGGCACACGCCACAGCGGTCCTCCATGGCACCGGAGTCAATCTTGAAGTCACAGCCCACATTCTGCAACACACAAGGGAGGGGAAGCCCATGGTACTGGCAGTCAGCCCTCTGTGGCCCCAGCCCTGGGGGCCAGCCAGGGTCAAGAGGAGACAGCTGGAGTGGGAGTTGGGAGGCCTCTCTCTGGCCCTGCCCCACCCCAGCTGTGCCTCTGACCCAGGTGAACTTCTCTACCTCCCTGAGCCTCAGTGTCCTCAGATGTGAGACGGTGAGACCCGCCCCTCCCTTAAAGGCATGTCTTGAGCATCACATGTGACAAGAGAAGGGAGTTCTGCAAAGGCTGCGGGCAGGCAGGGACCTGATTCACCACGGGCTTCTGACCAGTGCGTGCAGGGAATCTGAACATCAGAGGTGCTGGGGGTAGGCCCCTCCCTGCTGGTCCCCCTCTGAGCCCAGGCCCGGACACCCCAGCGGCTTAGGGGGCTACAAGCAGGGGCAGGTAGGTGGCTGGGGAGATGGGCAAAGATGAGACGCCTTCAGGGCTAGAGCCCTTCATGTCACCTGTGCCACCTCATCTGACCCCTTCTATCAGGGAGGAAACCACTGCCTGTGGTCAGCAAGCTGGCAAGAGGTCAAGCCCTGCCTGGGTTCCGGTGTCCTGGCTGGGGCGGTGCTGGCACAGCATCCAAGGAGACCAGGGGCAGCGAGCCCTGACTGGCAGGGGTCTCCAGTGCCAGGAGGCCTGGTATGGGCTTTGCCTTAGTGGTATAGAGGGTGGGGTCTGGGAAGCCCAATGGCAGAGCATGGGGAGGGTGGCCAGAGGACCAGGAGGGACCCAAGGGAGAACCTGGGGCCTGCCAGTGGGGCTGGGGGCGGGCGGTGCTGGGACAGCCTCTTCCCGACCAGGCACACCTTGCCGATGCCATTGATGCAGAAGTCCTGGCTGACCCTGCCCTGGTAGCAGGGGGTGCCATCAACCACAGCGTCCCACAGCTTCTCGGCAAAATACTCATTTGAGGGCCGGCAGTGCAGCTCACAGGTGTTCTTCACTGGGGGCCAAGTAGAAGAGCCATCGGCGACAGCCGGGGCAGGAGTTACGGAGGCCACCAGGAAGACCCCTCCATGACACACATCCATGGCAGGCTGGAGGCTCCAGCTAGGCTGGTAGCTATCTGCAAGGCTGCAGACTGGGGAGCTGGGAGAAGCAGCAGCCCCAGGGCACAGCGGGGGCGGCCCAGGCTTGGGGTGGAGACTGAGCCTCCTGCTGCATCATAGGGTAGTCTTGGGTGCACACAGCCCCAGCCCTCTGAGCCTCAGTGTCCTCGTGGGAGGCAGCACCCACCATCATTGACCATAGGCACCCATGTGTGCAGCTTGCCCTTGTAGAGCATAGCGTCAAATTGGCTGCACTGGACATGGCGGAAGGAGGGGCAGCCAGAGGGGCAGGCTTGTAGGTTGCAGAGGCAGAAACGCTTCCGCTGGCCCACGCAGTACTTGCCCTTGTATTTGGGCCTGTGGGGAGATGCAGGGAGGGCCCGGTGAGTGCTACTAGGCCACAGCCCGGAGTGAGTGGCCACCTCCTGTACCCGCACCCCGAGATCCCTGCCACCCAGCTCTGCGCACATGCTCTCCTCCCATGGGCTGCCCCTGCTCTGGCCCAGACACACCCTCCCTGTTTGTAAGGACCTTCGGGGAAGTAGCAGCAGGAAGCCTGAGCTTTGTCCCCAACCTACTGTGTGACTGTGGGCAAGTCTCTGGCCAACCCCCTGGGCCTCAGTTTCCTCATCTGTAAAATGGGGTTGAGGCTGACTCTGCAGAGGGCTGTTGAGAAGCTGTGACAAGCTGCAGGCATGACTGGCACTGACTGGAGGGACTGCTCCGAGTCCCCAGCCCATGACACCAGTGTCCTAACGAGCCCTTGAGTCCTCAGCCTCCCTCCTGGTGGCAGTTCCCCCAGCCCGGGTGTAAAAAAAAGCCCCCAGGGCCCCAGCCAGCTGAGAGGTCTGCCAAGTCACAGCTCCTGAAACCCTCCTCATCTAGGCCAGGGTAGCTGGACCCAACCCGGCTCAGACCTGGAGATCTGGAGGCAGGGAGGTCACAGGGACCTTGGTGGGGCTGGCTGTGAACCCCATGCCTTCCCTGAGCGGCCTCGTGAAGAGGAAATCAGCTGGGCAGTGCCTCGGTCTACGGTACTGCTGGGCTCTGCGCCTCACCACATTCTCACATCCCCCTGTTTAAACGGGGAAACGGAGGCCCAGAGAAGGGGTGAAGAGGGGATTCAAACCCTGAGCCATCTAAGATCCAGGGCCCATGCTCTTCCCCATTGCCCTCACTGTCCTCCCTCCAGCCGGCCGCTGCTTTGCCGTGTGGCCTCTGATGAGTCTCTCTAGTCTCTGGGCCTCAGTGTCCCCCTCTCTGCAAAGGGGTCAGCAGTGGGGACCTGTCAGCCCCAGAACCCTCCTTGAAAATGACTCAAGGTGGCCTGGACACTCGGACTGACCGTTATGAGGACACTTCTAAGAGCCAGAGGCTGGGACAGAGTCAAGCCCCTGCAATCGGCTGACTGCTTGGGTCCCTCTGTCCCATCGCCCAGGGCACCTTGGGCCCCACACTCACACAGGCTGCGTGCACTGCCGCTCAGCGCTCTGCACACCCATGCCACAGCTCCATGAGCAGATGGACCAGGTGCTCCAGCTGGACCAGCCACCGTCCACGGCCTCAGGCCGGAAGCCCACAGGTACCCACTCCCCATTGAGACACCACTACTGAGACAGATGGAGGTAGAGCCACCCCCACCCCCACCCTCAAGCCTATCAGTCATCCTCACCCTAGTGAGAACAAGGTGGGTGAGAAGGCCACGGAAAGCACAGAGAGGAAGGATGGAAGGTGAGAGAGGCCCCTCCCAATCATCACCATCACATGTGGCCCAGGCCGCAGGGTGGAGCTGAGCAGGGAGTAAAACAGCCCACATGCCAGACTCAGCTGAAGGCACCTGGGGAATCATGGAATCAAGCCCTGTGCCCAATGCTTCCACTTTGTAGACGGGGGCTTGGGCTGCAGAGAGTGGGGGTCTGCTAGGAGCACAGCAAAACTGTAAGCTGGGGCTGACGCCCGGGCCCGGACACAGCAGGAGGTCTGGCCTCTCCCTCCCACCGCTGGAACTGGGCACCTCCTACCTTGTTCTCCCCACACCAGGTGCCGTCCACGGCTGCATCCAGCTTGGAGTGACAGGTGGTCCCGACAGAACACCAAAGTGTGCGGCAGACATTCTGCAAGGAGGAGGCACAAGCCACACCCTCACCCCACCCCACCCTCGTGCCACCAGCCGCCCTGCCCCCACCCTGTCCCCAAGGACCCCCTGGACACCCTTCTATATGGCGGGGGTCCACAGATCCCCAGATGTCCCTTATGTGTCTGCTCCCACCTTCCTCTCCAGACCCTGTGGTGGTGTAGGGGGCCCGGGGATGCGCTGCTCACAGCACTCCCCATCTGTCCACCCCTCTCCCGGCCCAGCCCCACCTCTGGAAACACTTCCGTTAGAAGATCACTCCAGGCAGTCTTCTCCAGGATAAACAAACCCTCCCCACACGGGTTCCTTCCCCACCTCCACTTTTTTTTTTTTTTGAGACAGAGTTTCGCTCTTGTTGCCCAGGCTGGAATGCAATGGCGCATTCTCGGCTCACTGCAACCTCCGCCTCCTGGGTTGAAGCCCTTCTCCTGTCTCAGCCTCCCAAGTAGCTGGGACTACAGGCATTTGCCACCATGTCCAGCTAATTTTTTGTATTTTTAGTAGAGACGGGGTTTCACCATGTTGGCCAGGATGGTCTTGATCTCTTGACCTTGTGATCCACCTGCCTCAGCCTCCCAAAGTGCTGGGATTACAGGCATGAGCCACCGCGCCTGGGCCTTTTCCCTCTTAAAAACCAGCCCCTGGGAGGCTAAGGGACTTGTCACAGTGGATCCGTGATTGACCCAGAATTCAGAGCCGGATCTGTGGCTGTCCATCCTTGGCCTCTCCCACAGGCCTCTGACGTGTCACAGTATCATATGGGAGCACAGCCCAGGCCAAGCGAGGTTCCTCCCAGGCTGGCATCCACTGGCTGGTGAGGGCTGCCCCCTGAGCCCTCACTGGGTCCCCACACCCTGGTACCCACCCCAGCCCACTCACATCCATGTTGTCGTGGAAGGCAGAGTAGGCCCCGTACTGGAGGCGGCACTGGTGGCTCACATCATAGAGGACGCTGGGCGGCACTGAGGGGAAGTCGATGATGTACTTGGCAGGAGAATCATCCAGGCACAGGCCCCACCTGCGGCTAGAGATGGGATGGGAGCAAGGAGAGTGGGGCAGCCTGTGAGACCCATCGGAGAGGCCTCGGCTGGGCTGGGAGGGGAGGAGGGAGTGGCACAGAGCCCCACCACTGTAGGAGAACTCCAGCCCCCCGCTTGGCTCAGCCACCCTGCAGCCAGCAGTAGAGGCCCTCCCGCCCACGCTCATCTCACCTCCTGGGCACACCAGCTCAACAACCCCAGCCCCAGTGCCCAGCCTCTGCACACGCTGCCGCCTCCACCCCGCTCCTCTTGCCCTACCGCTGCAGCCTCCCCTCCAGATGCAGCGCCAGGGTCCTTCCCTCCGAAGCCTACTGGATCACCAAGCCCTCTTGTGGCCCTGCTCTTCAACCCTGCAGCCTGCATCCCTGAGCCCAGACCCTGGAGCCAGGCCCGACAAGGATGTGGAGAATATCACATCACAGTTGACACAACAGAGCCTCCGATGGCCCCACCCAGGCAGAGACCTCGGGTCATCTATGGAAGGACGAGGTCTGGAAAGCAGCCCTCCCCTGGGAGAGAGCCCAGGCAGCCGTGCCTGTCCCCCTGCAGGACTGGCCTCAGCCTCTGTCACACCCTACCTACTCTCGCCTTCCTCCAGCAGCATTCCCTGGCAGCAGTGGCAGGGAACCGGGCAGACAAGAGCAGACACAATCTGTACCCACCAGACACTCCTGCTGCCGCAGTGTGGCGAAGACGAGGCTGCCCGCCTAGACACACCACCACGAGGTGGGGGTATGCAGGCGGGGGGCCCTGGGGAGGGCGGCCCAGGCCTAGCTGGCACGTGCTTCTGGCCCTGCCTTACTCCGCATGGCCCTCGGGCATGGCTATTGTGTCTGGGCCCAGTGTCCATCCTGCTGCACCTGCTGGACCTTAGGCTGGCACCACTACAGCTTAGCAGCAGGAGTGCCCTGGCATACTGACCGGCCCACCCCTCGACTCCTTGCTGTCCTGGAGAAACTGGAGGAAAGTTTGGGGGCCTTCTGGGGGCAGCAGTTCTGGAGAGAATTGAGCCACACGGACAACCAGGGCTGAGATGACCCCGGCAGCCACGACTTGGGCAGAAGCAACAGAGGAGGGCAGGACCCACAGGACCTGGGGCCTCTAGCCAGGCAGGGGCGACGGGGAGGCACAAACCCTCCAGTCTCCCGTCTGGGAGGTCTCAGGGCAGGCGGTGCCAGGCCCGAGGGCCAGGATG